AGACCCCACAAAGTATATATATTCTTGATCAGGGCGACAAGCTGAGTCGATTTGGCCCTGTCCGTCTGTCCGTCCGTCCGTCCGTCCGTCTGTATGTATGAACGCGTCGATCTCAGAAGATATAAGATCAAGAGACTTCAACTTTTTTTTTAAATGTCCGTAAATAGCGCGCGCATATCGAGTTCATCACTAAAAAACGATAAGTCATTCCGATACTTTTTTATCGATATAAACATTATCGAAGATCACTTAAAAAGTTGTATTTCCTACATCTTTCAAGCTAGATTCTCTAAATTTAAAATGTATATTAAGATGCATAGAAATTAAATTATTCAACAAAAAAGTTCTCATAATATTACCAACACTGCAACGCAACCCAAGCGCAATCGCCTGTATATGTGAGTGTGTGTGTGTGTGCGTGTGTTAGTTTGTATGCGTGTGTATGTGTGTGTGTGCTAATTATTATTGAAATACCAGTTGCTTGTAGTAGTGCTGGGCGCAACATCGATGTAACATCGATACATCGATGTTTGAAATAAAACGATTGCATTTATTTGCATTTATTTATTTCTTTATTTTATTTATTATTTATTATTTTTGTAGGATATTAGTGCTGGCAGGCAATGGACAAGTTTTTGAGAGATGTTAGCGGCAATGGTATTATTAGCATTCAATTATATTTATATTTCTGCATATATGTATTTATGTGTTATTTTTGTGTAGATCGCAAATCAACAGTGGAAATTGACGAAGGAGAAACACCCGTGAAAAAGATAAGGTATAGACAGTCGGAAGTATGGAAATTTTTTACTAAATTGCAAGTGGCAATACCAGTAATTTACCTGGCTACTTAAAAAAGAATGCATCCGACGTTAAGAAATATTTATGCGTGCCAGCAACTTCTACGGAGAGTGAGAGGATGTTCAGCAAAGCTGGACTACTGTCAGCGAAAAAAGAAGCTCGCTGAAGTCAAAAAATGTTGACATACTGGTCTTCATCAACAAAAACGATTGGGTCTCAAATGAGACCTATTAGAATATTAGATGGTAAGTTTCCCATACTTAGATTAATTTAAAAAAATGATATAAATAACAATCTAATTGCAGATCTTAATATACGATAATTACAAAAATAGACTGATGGAGTTAAGTTTTGATTTAATTTTATTAAGAATATAAACATTGAATTCATTTATAATAAAAAAAAATCCCGATTTTTCATCGATACATCGATGTTTTTGATTGAAAAACATCGAAACATCGATGTATCTCCAGCACTAGCTTGTAGGGTTCAGGGGATCTCGTAGTCGAGCAGTCTCGACTAGAGTTTTCTTACTTGTTTTTAATTGAAGCCGTATATGAATAAAGTGTGTCCTTTGCTATTTATGGTTGATATTTTGCAGTCTTGTTGTTAACTGTCTGAGTTTGTTTATCAGCTTTCTGTTTGATTGTCTGCCTGCTCTCTCCATTCTTTTCCCTTTCACATGTCCAGCTCTCTACTTGTCTAAGCAGGAGCAGGATGCGTAAACATGAGGTATGTATTTACATATATACATGCAAAGCGTAAACGTCTGTACCCTGTACCCCAGTACAAAAGGGCAATGCCAGTAAAAAAGATTAGGAACTTCTGTAAGCTTTGATTAGTAATTTCAATCTATTGCAGTCATGAGACCTATATGATATCAACATATATGATATGAGGTCTATACAAATCTAAGTTTCTGCACAATGGAAACTCTTGTTGCCAAAGGGTTAATCTGCGAACGAGTGTCGCTCTGTCGATTTGAAAATCTATTTTCAGCAACAGCAGCAGTCGAGCAAGCAGCACACACAATGTGGACAGCACTGGCAAAACATAATAGAAGAAAGACTGAAAAAAGATGAGAGAAACCAAATATGTTAAGCGCCATCGTCCTGATGCCTGCTGCCTGCTTCATGAGATAATGCCCAGCTCTGAGCTGATGTGTGTTTGTATATTTTTCTAAAAATTTGCACGCATTTCATTGTGGTTGTTGTCGTTGCTGTTGTTTGTTTGTTTATTTGTCGCACATGTGTGCGGTTCCCAGCAGCAGCGCCCCAAAAAGTATGCAAAGCAAAAAAGCGGTGGACGCCACAAACACGCACACATATACTTATATACCATTGTGTGTGTGTGTGCTGGAGTGTGAGAAATGCGGGAAATGTAAACGGAATTGTTTTGCTTGCTCAGCGTTTGTGTGTGGCGAAGGGATAATGACAAGCTAGAGGAGAGGCATACAAACTCCCCACACACACGCGCACACACACATTGCATTGGCAGGCGCAAGGTGATGACGTCGACGCCGACGGCAACCACGCTGTGTTGCGTGTCTTATCTACGATGCGGGAAAACACGCACGCAACCGAAGCAGGCGGGTTGACAACAGCACGAACAGAAAGCTGATTCCTGATGGTCCTTTTGCACTCAGAACGGAATGCGACTGTAGGCGACTGTTTAGTTGAAGCAATCACAAAGGATTTGCATTGTGGTCGAAAAGTGGCTTTTGCATTGTCCTTACCGTCTTGGTGTTCGCCAACGCAAATTAACTGAATACCAAAAGTGTGCATTGTAATTGTTCCTAATAAGACAGATAATGCATGACTCCATCGCCATCTTTCCCCACCTCTAAATTCGCCCCATCAACCTCACTTTTCTAAAAGGCGTATTTCAAGTACATACATTTAAACATTATGTTTACGTTCTGAAAGTTTCATTAAATTCGTACGTGCAGAAATTAAATTATTCAACAAATAAATTCGTATTATACTGCATACACTGCAGTGTGACTGCAGCCCAAGCGCAGTCACTGCTTACTGCGCAGTTAGCAGAGCGCGTTCTAATACGTGCGTGTGTATGGATGTGTGTTTAAAAGAAGTGTAGAGTTAGTAGAATATCAGATTGGAGGGTATCTCATAGTCGAGCAGTCTCGACTAGAGTTTTCTTACTTGTTTTAAAATGTCCGTATATACGGATGCATTTTATACCATTTCGATTTTTGTTAAAATTTACCTTCACCCCTATATCCACCTCCTCACCCTCATTTGTAAAAGGCGTACTTTAAATACTAGAGACTTGTGCTTTGGAATGTACATACATTTGAACAGTATGATGAGTTCTGAAAGTATCATTAAGATCGTACGTCTAGAAACTAATATTCAACAAATAAATTCTCAAAATATTGCCAACACTGCAGAACAGCCCCAGCGCAATCGCCTGTATATGTGCGCGTGTGTGTGTGTGCGTGTGTTTGTTTGTATGCGTGTGTGTCCGAATTATTATTGGAATATCAGTTGCTTGTAGGGTTCAGGGGATCTCGTAGTCGAGCAGTCTCGACTAGAGCTTTCTTTCTTGTTTTACTTTAAATAGGGGCTAAATGGTTATTGTCGATTCGAGTGGATAGATCGACAGACAGCAAGATGACATTGTATAAAATCAAAGTATACCCTTTCACATCATGATATATGTATAAATGAAAAGTGGCATGAGAAGCGTTGTCGAGCGGTGTGACAGCCTATTTACTCAATAGCAACAGGGTGGCAGCCTCATTTAAGGCGAAGTCAGTTATTGAGGGCGTTGATGGCATAAGAAGTATGAGTAGACATTAAAAGAAGAAAGGCGTACACGCTGGTGGTTAGAGGTCAAGTAGTCACAGTAATCTAAAGTTGTTTAAGTTCTTAATACTCTATTAATCTCAATTACAAATACTCAATCTAAATAATAAATACACAGTTATATACAAAATAATTGTTACATAAATAGAATACAGGAACATATAAATATATATTCCAAGTTATTTTTGTCTTAATTATAATAAAATATAGCACATATATGTATAAATTTATATATTTCTATGCTATATAAGTCGAAGCACATACAAATTTAAAATATTGCTCCATTCAGATATATATGAGATTATTATGGATTTATCTGTCTAATTGTATTTCTCTTATAATATAATATAGCATGCTTAGAGACTATTCAATATTCAAAGTGATAGGTTTAAGACAGCGCATTATATCAGTCCAAAATTGACGCCTATACTTCAGTTGCAAGTATTTGAGTTCGATCTTTGTTGGCGGTTCACCAACAAATTTATCGAGTTGTGATACTCAGCTGATTGGCCGTCAATGTTTTACTCATTTTGGCACTGTAAGTAAAAATCTTTATTTGATTAATACAAATATCGACGGAAGCATCGAGATCTTATACAAAAAGACATTCAATTACCTACAATTTAGATATACTGGCCCTTTTTTTGTCTAACGGAATTCTAGGCAATAACAGCTGACACTTGCCTTAACAGCGAGCTGTTAATTTTAAAGCAGCCGCTGCTGTTGAAGCTGTGCTGTTATACTGCGCAACTGTTTCTGTAAGTAGCTAAAACTGGCTTTTACAACACTGTGTTCATTCAAAAACCTTTTTCGTTAGAATTTAAAAACAGTGCCATTGGCTTTTGTTTAGGGTTAAGTCAATATATATTATTATTGGTTAAATTTATAAAGCCGTAAACATATTAATTTTGTGAACAATATTATTTGGAAGTAAAACAAGAAATGTATGGATCTCATTCAAATAATTGCACTTTATTTACTTATTGTGACCTAGTAGAAAATATGCACTATATCTAAGACACTATGCTGCAATTTGTGTAACGGCTGATATTTTCTCCCACTCAACAGGCGAGACATGCAACCAACTCAATTAGGCGGCTCACTTTCACGACGGCCACGTCCACTATTAAGGACTGCGGCCGTGACGATGACGACATTGATGTGACTAATTGTATGACTATTGTTCATTGACTCAGTTCAGTAGCGACAGAAAGGACTGAGGTGGGGCTGTGGCTAGTTGTTCTTATATATTTATATGTGTCTGTGTGTGTGTGTGTGTCTGTGTACAGCAGGGACAAATAGAATATGTTGCTAACTTAGTTTAAGTACTAATTATCACAAAGTAACCTTATTGTGTAGGCGTTGAAATTTGCACTGATTTGCGCTTTGACTTTGCATTTGACCTGCGCAAGGGTGATAGGTCAGCCATAGCCCAGCAGGTACTTGGGCAAGTAGGTGATGGACGTAATGAGGCTGTAGCTGTTGGAAAAGAAGCAAAGCCACAAAACCGTAGTTTGCGTGGTCCTCAAATGTTACCAAAATTTATTTTGAAAGCTTATTTTACAGTATATTCACCAGTAACCAGTTTAGTCTGCTTAATAGGTATCTAAAATTATGTGTAGCTAGATATTTACAGAGTTTGTGTGTTTGTTTGACCTCAACCGAATACACCATAAACCACATCACTGAAACCCAAGGCATTCGACTCTATGTTTCCCTGCTCCTCGGTGTGTTGCTCCCAAGTGCTGCCATTGAAATGTTCCAAAGCAGATAAAATGAGAGTGTATATACAATTATATTGGGTTCTGTGTATTTTACATTTACATCAAAAATACGACAACAATAAAACAACAATGAACACAAAATGCCAGACAATGAACCATCGCACGATCATCACATGAGCATCGAGCCAACACCAAGCAGAACAAACAGATAGCAAACTACATTAGCGATACATACGAGTTGGTAAGTCCCCGATAGAACCACGACTTCCACGACTTGGAGGACCCCTCATCGATTTTCGACTCCACATCCGCACAGAAATGCCGGCGGTCGTGGGAGCGTCCACTTTTGCAGTCGCACAACATCCGCTTTTTGCACTCCGCATCGCACGTGGGTCGCGCCGGAGAGTTCTTCCAGTAGTTTCTAAATAAAAATTAATAAATGTATATGAATAGGGCGTACAATGATATATTACTTCTATACTCACTTATAGTAAATTTCAAATAGCTCCTGGTTGTCCGTCAGATCGTTGAGCAGCTTGTCCCAGTCGCTCGGTCGCAGAGCTTTCATATTATACGCAGCCCTGGCTGTATATAGCTTATACCAAATCGGGTAGCCGTAGAGATTTGCCTCCTTTAGGTTCATTATCCACGACTCATGATCGATGACGAGACGAGTGGTTGTATCATGATCACCATCAACCTAGGGATTACATTGAACGACGAGTCATTAGTTACATATATTAACTTAATTTACTCTAGGGCTCCCTCATTGTTATACTCATTCACGAAATGAGTATATAAGGCTTCTGCAACGTCCGTCTTGCTGTTCGCCCGTCTGCCCGTATGAACGCAGTTTGTTTCGGGGCTATTGAAGCTAGAGAACACAAACCGCAAAGGTTTATATATCCTATACTATAAGAGCTAGAAGCTCAAATTTTGATAGTTTAGTTACTAGTAGCCTCCTCTAGCGATTCCCTAAATAATATTGTTACGCCTCTTTAGGGGCGTGGTATATAAAAAAATACCCTGTTGTATCTCATATTTTTGGAGTGTAGGTATCCAAATGTTTCAAAATGGCCAAAAATGAAGTATCTACGCCCAGTAGAAGCGTGGCGTACCGAGAAAACTGCATTTTCAACAGCATTCGAGCTAAACTTTGCTACTAAATTGCTTGTGGGTTGTGAATGAGTATTCCGCAGTCGGTAACGCCCGACTGGAAAGTTCTTACTTGTTCTACAGATCTAACTGTGAAAATAATAAGTTTCACATAAAACCAACCAACCAGATTTGAATAGGCAATTGTATTGATTACATTTTCGTCAATAGTTTCTATTACCATTTAAAATTACTTACATAGTAAATGCGGTATCCCGGATTTAGATCATAGTAGGGCGACACCGAGGGTCCTATATAGGCAATGCTATTGGAATGCGCTGAGGGAAGACAGGAAAAAAATGTCTTGTTTAAAATTAAGTTTTAATTATGAATATTCCTTGTTCTTAAGCGGAAGGAGAGACAAATGTTATTACTTTACTATAGGTTAACATCCTCCAACTAGACTTGTACATGTATTACTTTAGGTCGGACAAAATATATTGATTAAAAAAAAATAAACTCCATAAACTTACTCAAATCATGGGGATCGTAGAACATTTCGAACTCGTCGAAGTGGGTGTGGCCATAGAACTGGGCGGTAATGGTGCTCTCATAGCGCGAGATGATTTTATAGAAATTACGTGACCAGACCTTCAGGCAGTCCGAATGACCTGGCGGAATGTGCCCAATTACATGAACCTTCTCATTGGAAAACTCGGCGCTCTGCAGCTCATAGATGAACCTAAATAGGATGAAAGTTTCGATTAATATAAATCAAATCGAGTCGAAAATATATATCACAAGCTGTAGTTACCATTGTAACTCCGTGGCGGGATCAGTGGAGTTGAGAAGCAGCCACCAGTTCTTGTTGTTGCAGTAGTTCATGTTGAGTGAAATGATGCGAAAGCCGGGGCGCACTAGAACCGAGTAGAAGGCGCCGCGCCGGACAGTGTGCGAGACGCTCTGCGGCAGCCAGCGACGCCACTGGACGTCGAGCTCGTCGTAGAGCCAGTTGATGGAAATATCGACTTGGTTGACATACGGAGGCGGGAAGCTGTTAACGGGCGCGCTCTCGTGGTTGCCCAAGGCTGGAAAGATTGGCACTCCTGGGAACTTTTCAGTCATCTGCTTGACCGTCTCCTTGATGATCTCTAGGTTCTCCTGCTTCGTCTGGTTCCAAACATCGTGCGGCGGCAGGTCGCCCGTCCAGAGGATGTAGTCAATGTCCTTGTGGGTATCTGCAATGTGAGCGAGCATGTTGTCCACCGTCCGCTTCGGCGTGTCGCACTTGCGGTAGTCCCCCCACTTCCCGGCAGCAGCGTTGGGGCTGGCAGGCCGCCCACTGCTCAGCCGGCAGCACAGAGGTTCGTTGCAGTCCGCATTTGCTCCCTCGACGTAGTGCGGATCGTAGTGGGTGTCGGAGATGTGGAGCACCTTGAAGAACGGCGCCGCTTCCAGTGGCACTGGCAGCTCTGCAAGGCGCGGGGGCTTGGGTACCGGTGGGAAAATAACCTCCCACTCGTGGTACGGGTTATAGACATCGCCGCAGCCGTCGCCTATGATGAAGCTGCACAGCTCGTCGGGGCCCAGGTTTACGCGTTGCAGCACGTAGATGACTTCGCTACCAAAGAGCTGGGCCACCCCCTCGCAGACGCGCGGGCTCTGGATGCTCAGGTTCGTGCAGTATTGCGCAATCATCTTCATGAGCTCCGCGTCAGTCTTGCCGCTCTTGATGTAGTGCTGGAGCAGGCCGGCTCCCGCCTTGCACGCGGTGCAGGAGACCTTGGACAGGACGCTGTTCTCGATTTCGAAGGCCACCTGCTTCAGATTGAACAGCTTCAGCGCCTTGTCCACGAATGGAGGATACGTGAGACCATCGCCAGCTGCCGCGTCGTACCATAGCATTCGCGCCGAGCTGCGGTTCTGGCGCAGAGCCCGCAAGCGCTCCAAAAACGCCTCATCGGTGTCGGCTGTCTCGGTGCTGGTGCGATTCGGGTGATACTTGAGCTCCACGTGCGGTACCACGCTCCGTGGCTGCACCTCAACCTTCCAGTCGTCCAGCTGTGGCTGCGTCCAGTTGATGGGTGCTCGCAGATTCGTGTAAAGAAAAGGCAGAGCTGCCCCCAGGGCGCTTAAAAGTCAAACGGGTTCTGCTTTCGGGTGCACTTGCTCCACTTACCATCGCTCACCGCCAGCCCGGCCACGGCCAAAGCCGCCATGAGCCAACAAATATGCCGGCTCAGACTGGGCCACGTCTGCTGTGACATTGACATAACTGTGGCTCAGCCTCCACTAGCACCACCAGCGGCAGCCTGTCCACTTGACCTACCAAATTCCAACAAAAAGAAAATATGAACAGTCATTATTATATTCAACTTGCTTCAAGTGCAAGTACACACACGATGAGGTCTGCACATATGAGCAAGATATGGTTGCGTGCTCTTTTTCTTATTGCCCAGTCATCGGACTTGCGTTTCACGTTTCATTCTGAGACATCATTTGGGACAAATTTAAGGCACAGCATAGATTAGACGATATTTCGTGGGTTTTCCCAATACTTTCATTATTTTAAATTGTTCATTTGTATTGAAAGTGGTCAACGTGAGTGAACAGAGTCAAAACTAGTTTTCTGATGCTCTCAATGGGTATTAAAGGGACTTGACGGGATTGCAAAGTATAAGAATATGAGTTTTTCGTAAAGATTTGCATATATTCATTCTGCACTTATTTTATGCACACATACATACACAGAATGAAATCACATTGGAGTACTTGAAATACTTGCTTTTTTGAATTTGTGGCGAAGGGGGCGTGGTATCCAAAATCTTTAAGTTTAAAAATTTTTGTATTCATCATATGTATACACAGTACATCTGAAGTCTCAGCTCGTCGACCTGATCAAGAATATATTAATTTATGAGGTCTGCTACGCCCCCTTCTGCCTGTTACATACTTTTCACAGAACCATAATTTCCAGACTTCCCATTTTCAATAGGCCAAGGGTATACAAAATTAAATAAGATTAACACACTATATATTAATAAACTAATATGATGTAATAAATTTTTTTTTATACTCATTCACGAAAGTGAAATGAGTATATTGGTTTTGTGGAATGCCAGTCTTGCTGTCCGTCCGTCTGTCCGTATGACCGTCTATTTCAGAGCTATTCAAGCTAGAGACTTGACTTTGGAGTTAAGTATTAAAATTTTCCGGATCCGTCCACTACGGGCGTGACATTTTCCAATACCCCAGAAATCATGTTAGTTGAAGAGCTAGAAAGCTGAAAGTTGGTATTTAGATCCGCGTCGGGCACCCAAGATCACCAGCTGTAGCGGATAAACCTTCGCCCATTGGGGGCGTGGCAAATCGGATAAAACTGTATCTCCCAACGTTGTTAATTTAGAATGCTGAAATTTCGCACGTGAGCTTATGTTTCGATTCTTTAAAGATTTGTGGAAAATGTCTACCTAAATATCTATCTAACTATATACTAACTACTAGGGGCGTGGCAAGTCGGACCTGAAGATATACTGATTTTTCAAATTCTGCTATATTTTTGACTATTGACGATAGAGACCTGAAATTTGGTATATATACGCAGGTTGACCTGCCCAAGTCCAACGAGCGTAAGACAACTTTTGAATTTAGGTTACCGTTAGCTTGTTCTATGAGCTGGCCAAAAATGAAGTGTCTACCCCCAGCAGGGGCGTGGCAAGTCGACAAAAACCTGAATTTTCAACAGTAACGCCCGGCTGCAATGTTCTTAATGAAAATGCGAAATCAATATATAATAGTTTTGTTAAAAGTATGTAACAGGTAGAAGGAGGGGTGGCAGACCCCACAAAGTATATATATTCTTGATCAGGACGACGAGCTAAGTCGATTTGGCCCTGTCCGTCTGTCTATAAGAGCTAGAGACTTCAATTTTTTTTAAATGTCCGTACATACAGCACGCATATCGAGTTTATCACTAAAAAACGATAACTCATTCAAATATTTTTTATCGATAAAAAATCTTGTCGAAAATCAGCTTTAAAATTATATCTCCCACATCTTTAAAGCTAGAGTCTCCAAATTTAAAACAAGTAATAAGATGAATTTTGTGCAATATGACTACGTTCTGAAAATTCCATTACGATCGTAAGTCTAGAAATTAAATTATTCAACAAATAAATCCTCAAAATATTGCCAACACAACAGCGCAACCCAAGCGCAGTCGCCTGTATATGTGCGTGTGTGTGTGCTTGTGTTTGTTTGTATGCGTGTGTGTGTGTGTGTGCGTGTGTGTGTCCGAATTATTATTGAAATATCAGTTGCTCCAAGTGTTCAGGGGATCTCGTAGTCGAACAGTCTCGACAAGAGCTTGCTTACTTGTTTTTATTATGCTAGTTCCTGACTTTTATCTAAGGGAATCCCCTATTCAAGACAGGATTAGAGCTGGGATTTAAACTGTCAATTAAGATCTCGCCTCAATATATTTTGTTTACTATGAGGTTTTACTTCTCATCTTGGCTTATCAAGTTTTTACACAGAGCATATTTCGAATTCCAATGCGCATTTTAATCACAAAATATTGCTGATAGCAGTTAATTGGCTGATAAGACTTCAAGCATATGTAGAGCAGAAAAATTAAACAGAAAATATTTCAGTCAGACGGAATAGGTTTGAATAACAAACATGTTTTTTTTTTTTTTTTGCTTGTTTAAAACAGCCTACGCTGCTGTGCAATATGTGTTAATACTAAATGGACATCGAAAAATGTTGAAAACAATGAAAAGTTTAACAAAAATATATATATATATATATATATATATATATATATATATATATATCAGTGTTGTCAACTTTTGTTAAGAAAAATGAAACCGTTTTTAGTGGGAAGATACTTAGAAACAAACTGAAATTTTTAAGGAAAATCGGACGAAAAACTGAAGATTGATATTAAAGTATATTTTTAGAAACTCCTCTTCATGACAGCATTTCTTCAACTGCCGCATGACGTATGTCTGAAGTTTTATAATTTATATGTTTTACCTGAGAATTAAAATTGAGTTAAGCATGCCATCATTCATTTTTTTGCCTAGTTATTTTTCACAATATTGACCTGACCAAAAATGTTGTCTACTTTCGCATTGGCAAAGGGGGTGAATATTTTTATTATACCCTGAACCCATTGAAAATGGGGAATCAGGGTATAATGGTTTTGTTAAAAGTATGTATGAACGCGTCGATCTCAGAAGATATAAGAGTCAGAGACTTCAACTTTTTTTTTAAATGTCCGTATATAGCGCGCGCATATCGAGTTTATCACTAAAAACCGATAACTCATTCCGATACTTTTTATCGATAAATAACTTTATCGAAGATCACTTAAAAATGTATATCTCCTACATCTTACAAGCTAGAGTCTCCAAATTTAAAATGTATATTGCATTTTATACAATTTCGGTATACACATACATTTATACATTATGATTACGTTCTGAAATTTTCATTACGATCGTACGTCTAGAAATTAAATTATTCAACAAATAAGTTCTCATA